CCTTAAACTTATTTTCTCTCTCTTCTTATTCTTTTGATTCTTCTTCTAGCGTGTCTATCTCTTTAACTTTTTTCTATAAAAGATTAAACCGAGGACTAGCGTCTCTATCTCTTTAACTTTTCTCTACAAAAGATTAAACAGAGGACTCATCCGAGTACGCTATGATCACGTAAGCCAAATGCAATCTAGAGAGAAAAAATATGGTAAAAGAAATTATGGAGATATAATATTCTAGAACCAACAATACCAGTAAAAACAAACACTGAGTCACAAATGAGGAGCAATAAATTAAGAGAGAAAAATTTATAAAAAATAAATAAATTCAGACTATTAAATTTTAGATTAGAAAATTTGTTTTACAACAAGATATAAGTGAATGACAAAGCACAATATCAAAGTTACTGTAAATTAAACTCAGGAAAAAAATAAGATATAAAATACCAAAAAAAATTGGGACCTATAGGTTATGAGCCCACCACGCTTCCACAACCTGCTCTGATACCAATGTTGAAAAAAACTTGAGGGAAGAGATGGACCCACTCCTAGGATTAAGGGCCGTGACTTTAGATTATCTATCGTAAAGATCAAGCTTTTACCTGTGAGAACTTTGTAAATTTATGTGTACCTCTTCATTACCATGAAACCCTTCTTAAAGAGGGATGGAGGAGGCTGTTCTCTAACGTTCCGCTTCCTCCCGAAATATCTGATAAAATGTGGCCCTGTAGTCTTGGGAAGTGGGTGGTTACCGTTAAATAACGTCACCTTCTCTCTCTAAGAAACCTCCTTTTTTAGTGATAAGCATTAAATTATAAGAGAGAGATATTACACGTTTAAAAGCCCCACGACCATACATACGTACCAACAAAAGGATGCTCAGGAGCATCAAGGGTAGCAACAACAGTGGGTGCTTGGTGAACAAGAACAAACATGTTTCAAAGGAAGCTCAGGAGCATCAAGGGTAGCCTTGGCGTGAATTAGCCGAAGTGATAGCATCCAAGGAATCCAAAACTAGGTTCCTACAAATTTAATTGACATCATTCATCAAGCTCTCCAATCTGCTTGCCCTCCGAAGGTCTTTGGATTTGGAAAATTTTTTAGGAGTTCTATCATTTGGCAGATATGGTTAGAGCGCAATAGGAGAACTTTTGATGGGATTTCTCTTTTTGATGATGATATTAAAGATTGTATTTTACAGTTTCTCTGGGACTGGTTTTTTGCGATCACAAAAGGTAATGGTGTATCCCGTACTGACATTTTTATAAATTTAAAGAATGATACTTTTTCCTATTCTCCAATTTCCAGCCCTCACCCAACTTGGAAAGCGCCTCCGGAAGGTTTTATTAACTTTAATTTTGATGGTAGTTCCATGGGCAATTATGGACTTGCTGGAATTGATGGTTTGCTTAGAAACCATGAAGGCTTGACAATTTTTTCTTATGCTGGTCCTTTTGTCAACACCACGGCCAACCAAGTAGAAATTTTATCCTTTTCATGGGCTACAAATTATCGTCAGCAAAAGTTTTTCTGGATCGATTCTTATTGAAGGTGATTCCCTCATTGTTATCAAGTGGTGTAAAAAGGAGCAAAGAATTCCTTGGTCTCTTCATTCATTTGGCCTGAAAATCCTTGACCTTTGTACCACCATGGGCCTCCACTTCTCCTTCTCCCTTGTCTATGGAGAGGCAAACGGGTTCGTTGATGGTCTCACTAAACATGACATCCTATCTCCCTCTTTGCTTGTTTCTGATGCCTTAATGTCTACTTTGTAATTTTGATGCTGTTTTAGCACCTCTTCAATAAAAGTTATAACATTGTCAAAAGAAAAAATATATTTTTATTATAAAATAAATTTTTTTATGGAAAAAATTTATATAGAGCCAAGGTTCTAAACAATCAAATTTGAGCCTACCTCAAAAATTTCACTCGAAGAGGTTGTTTGATGCCCAAATATCTTCAAATTGATCATCTCGACATCAAGATGCATGAACATGAGAAAAAATTGGATTTCAAGTTTTGAAAAAAGTGTATTTTGTAGCGTATTTTTGGACGGTCAATTTTTAAGATTTTTAAGTTTTCATAGATCTGCTGATCTGCACTATTTTTGAAGCTTTAAACTTTATAAATAAATATAAAAAATATATTTTAGGTCTATCACAAAGATTTCCAATATTGAAACCACATTTCTTGATATTATTTGAAGGTAGGCTCTAATTTGATTGTTTAGAGCCCAGGCTCTATTCAAACCACACCTTTTTTTATTATAATTTTTTTTTTATTTTGAATATAAAATGGATTTAGTAGACAACAAATATTCAACATGAGACATGTTCTCAGTATGTTCGTATTTTGACACAATAATGAAAATTCATAATGCAATTGCCACTATTTCTTTTAGAAACTAAAAAAATTATATTTTTTAATTTTTTTGAGCCGAAACCCGCTCCGGCCATTTCTCCAATCCACCAATTCAATACCGTTTTTGAAGTAGCCAACGATTCCTTTTTTAAAACCCTGGTATGAGGAGACAAACCGTGTCCATTTTTTCACTCATCTTCATGCACTTCGCGCTCTATAGTTTTGTGGGTGTATTTAGCTAAAGGAAAATTGTTGCGGGTTGGATATCATTCCTATATATGCGGTCTAGAAAGCGTAAAGCATCCATCTTAAAGATATATGCAAGTGGGTGCTCTATCTATACACAATGGAAACTAATGGGTTCAAATGTTTTTTTATTAAAATTATTATTTTCAATTTTTTAGATTTAATCTTTTTTACATATTTATGATCTCCATGTTAGAAATTGGATGTCTTTAAAAATTAAGATTGAAATTAAGACCTAATATCCATCCTAAAAAAAAGATATATTAAGAAGCCCGTGTTTCTACACAGGCGGGCTTGGCCGCATAGAAACCGTGTACTTATCTGAATCTGGAGACAACACAAATTTTTCTCACCATAGCCGCCTCTCGGGGATGAACATTTCGTCCTTAAAACATGCCGAAATATTTTCGTGACGAAATTTCGCCGAAATCCGCCTTGAGACAAAAAGGCAGTCATGTTCATTAGGACCCACTCCTCTGATAATTCCAATAACGATTATGGGTATTATGGTCCTTTTTATTATCTAACAGTCTAACGCGACTCCCGAAGAAAGCCCTAGATAGCGCGTCGATGCCGTGTGACACGTGTCAAATACCAACAGGTCCAAAGGGAATATGCCTTTCTTTGGCCGTATTTATTTTTTCTTATTCCTAGGAGCCCTTTTTTCATGCCTTTTTTTACACGCCTATATTATGCTCCCTCGACCGCACCTATTGAGGTGATTTTTTTCAAGTTAAAATTGAGGTTTTTTTTCAATTTAAAATTTTGAAAACCTCCTAAAAATTACTAGATGATTATTCTCAAATAAAAAATTTTAATTTTGATTTTTCTAATACTTAGATCTTACCTTCTAAAAATTGGACGTTTTCTATTCAATTTTGAGCTATAAGTTTTTCAAACATTTAAAGAGTGCAATCAGAAAGTCCTTTCAATTGGGGTTAACCACGTATTAAGTAGGTTACATATGTTTTGGAGCTCTAAAATTAATCCTAATTGGGGTTTTATCCGAGGGGGTAAATGGACAGTTTACTCCCAAGTCGCATAGACCGGGTAGGACCAAGCGTGACTTGCCCTATGAATCGTTGTTAACCACACAACAAAAGTAGGAATTTTCCACAGCCCCTTATGACAAAAAAGCCCAAACGTTTGTCATAAATGACAATGAGATCTTTTTGTTTTTGGGTCACTAACCACTGGTTCCTGGTTTGCGTGCGCCTTAAGTCGGAATAGCAAAAATTAGTTCCTTTTTCTTTTCACTAATGACCACTGCACCCTTATCCGTTCTTGCTTTCTCAAGAATTTTTCAATAAATATGCATTTCTGGTAAATTAATTATGTTTTAAAGTTCATGAACATCATAATTGGATGTAGTTTTTATAAAGGGTGCAGTTTGTAGAGCCGAGGCACTAAACAATCAAATTAGAGGTCACCTTCAAATAGTATCGAAAAATGTGTTTTTAATATTGAAAATCTTTGTGATAGCCTTAAAATATATTTTTATTTTTAATTATAGAATTTAAAGCTTCAAAATATAGTGTAGATCGAATAGATCTATAAAAACCTGAAAAATTTGAAAATTGACTGTCTAAAAAGACGTTACAAGATGCACTCTTTTCAAAACTTGAAATCCATTTTTTTCTAATGTCCATGGATCTTGACGCTGAGATGATCAACTTGAAGATATTTGAGCATTAAAACAACCTATTGTAATGAAATTTTTGAGCTGGGCTCCAATTTGATTGTTTAGAGCCTCGACTCTATATACACTTTTCCTTTTTATAAGGCCTAATTTTTATGAAAACAAAATAAGACGTGACCTCAAATGCACATTCTGGAAAATACTTTCGTCAACAAAAATCTCTATGATGGCTCTAAAATAAAATTTCAACACATACCGATAATAAAACTTGAAACTAAAAAAATGTTATAGATCTTGTGGAATTATAAAGATTTATTTTTAAGGTGAAATGGACGGCCTAAATTATTTATTACAATATATATTATTTTTATATCTTAAAATTCTATTTTTTTTTTCTCTAAGTACTTTTCAAGTCAAAATGTAGATATTTAAATTGTAATTTTCGATGAGTTATACGGTGAGGGGAGCTTTGTCAAACTATTTCTTTATTATATCGTTTTTAAGTAGGGAGTTATCTTTGGGCAAGGGATCAGCAAGGGTAAAATAATCATTTAGTTGCTAATAATAAGGGCCAGTTTGATAACGGGAGGATAAACGCGCCATAACGGAAGAGCAAAATGGATAAAATTTGAAACCCAGGAGGATATAAATGTCATCTTCATACAATTGATAAACGGATATGGTTGTACTGAACGGTCATAAACTTAAAATGAGGGTATTTTTGTTATGTTTACATAGAAAAGCTATAAATACCCTTCAATAACACTCTTTCGAAACCAGGACGCCATTGTTCTGCTACTTTTCACTCCATTCACTTTCTGTAACCGACCATTTTGATCAATTTTCCAGCGACCTTTCAGGCCAGATTACCTGCATTTTATATCGAGGAACGTTTCTTCCGGCAGATCATTAAGGTAATATATAATCGTCTCTTGCTATCCCTTAAGTTTCCGTCTATGTTTTCCACTTTTCCGGTGAAATAAATTTACGCTGTATTTGCAAACAATCGGCTATTCTCTCTATTATTCCTTTTATATCTAATTTTTACCGGCTATTTGTTCATTTCATGGAAAATTGCTGCCTAGTATGTTCCTGCTGTTTCTCCATTTTTTCGGAAATTTATCTTTCGAGCTACTCTCTCTATTTCGCAATTTTCTTGTATTAAAATTTCAATCTAGTGTATTTAAGCTTTTTTTATAATTTCGTTTCTCGATCTACTGTTTTTTCCTGTTTCATGAGTTGTCTGTGTTCATAACTGGTTCTCCTTTTTCCATCATTTTTTTTTTGTAATCCGCTGTTTTTCCGGCTTTTTTTTATATATTCCGGGGAGTTTCTGCGATAAACGATTTTTCCGGCTATTTGTTCATATCTGGCAATTATATTTCTGGGTTCTACTCTTTATTCTTTTTAAATCTACTGGTTTTTTCATGGGATTTCTTTAACTAGCAGCCCCTTTTTCATTTTCGCAGCAACTTAACCATCCATTACCATTTGTTTGATCTTTGATCAACAGTTTCGAACAATTTCATCCTCTCTTTTCTGAGACCAAGGCCATGGAGCTCGAGCTCACTGTCGTCTCGGCTAAAGACCTCAAGAATGTGAACTGGCGCCATGGTGACATCAAACCGTATGTGGTGGCCTGGGTGGATCCCGACAGAAAATTCTCGACTGGTGTCGACGAGGAGGGCGACACGTCCCCTGTCTGGAACAACAAGCTCACCATCCCCTTAAGAGACCACCCTGAGGATTCCACATTGCAGATCGATGTGGTCCATGCAGGCAGTGAGGAGAAGACCAAGCCGCTCATCGGATCAGCGACTCTGGCACTAAGAGAAGTCATAGAAGACGCGGGTTTCGACCACGGCCTCTCCAAAACCCTGAAGCTCAAGAGGTCGTCCGGCCGCCCTCATGGCAAGATCGAGGTCGAAATCCTAATCCGCGACCGATATGCCCGGAAACCAGCCGCAGAGACATACGACTATGGCCGGCACCCGGCGCCTGAATCATACAGCGGGTATGGTTATGGTGCGCCTCCAGCCCCATCAGTTTACGCCCCTCCCACAGGGGTGGGATATTACGGCGGGGCGGCCCCCTCTGGTGGGGCGCATTATGGTAATTATGGAGAGGCGGCACCACCGGCTGCGGGGTACTATGGTAATTATCAGGCGGCGCCACCGCCGCCTGAGAAGAAGGGGAGCAAAATGGGAATGGGGACGGGGCTGGCGATCGGAGCAGTGGGTGGTGTATTAGGTGGGTTGGCTCTGGCGGAGGGAGTGGATTATGTGGAGGATAAGATAGCAGATGATGTTACAGAGAGGGTGGAGGACGATTTAGCAGCTGATGAGTATGGGGATGACTACTAAGAATCTCTCTTACTGTTTCTCTCTCTCTCTCTCTCTCTGTGTGATTTCATGAGTGCTAGCGATTTACTGGTATGTTCCTTCTCTCTCTAAGGATTTGTAGTTAGTGTGTTAACCCCCTCTCTCTCTCTCTCTCAAAGGTTTTTCATCGGACTCTTATTTGGCTTTTAATAGACTATTCAATCTCTTGGTGTTGGTGTTGGTGTTGGTGTTGGTGTTGGGCATTTTTAGTGTATCCTGCTGTTTCTCCTGGGGGAGTTTTTGGGTTTACTTTATTTTTGGTATGGGAAAATATACAAGAACACCATTTACTTCACCATTAGATGAACGTGAAATTGACTGGTTGATCCATGTTCAACGTAATAATAATAATAAAAAAATTATAATTCTTAAGGCGTTATTAAGTTCTATAATGGGAGAATCCAAAAGGTTTTACGCTCCTCTGGGAGCATATTGTTTATTTAGTCCCTCAACTAAGACCTAATCAACTTCAACTTTCGATGAGTAACATTTTAAAAAAATTATAAATATCTCTAAAATCAAGGTATCCTTTTTCCCAATACTTTTAGTATCCATCCAACATTATTTTTTCTTGGATTCACTCTACTTTCTCTCTCTTTAACCCGTCCCTCTTTCTCCTCTCTTTTTATTTGCTCTCTTTTTCCCTCTCTCATTCTTTCTACTCGTACTTTTTTTTTTTTTTCTCCGTTTCTCTCTCAAGAGAGGAACCCATCATTCTAGGGTTTTATTTATTTGTGTGGATGAATTATCAGTTTGTATTTTTTCTATATGTATAAATTCATTTATTAGTTGTTATGCATTGTACTCAATTTTTTGTTTTTTGTTTTTTGTTTTTTTTTGCCATGGATAGAGGGAATTTGAAAATTGTTATTGAATAACTTGGACGAACCATGGTTTTTCAAAAACCAAAATATTTTAAATTTTGGTTTTTGAAAAATAAAAAATGGGTAGTTTCATTTTATTTTTTTATTTTTATTTTTTTTTAAATTGTTTAGAAGTTAAAAAAATGGACATATAAGTAATGAGAAGTGATCTTATATGACCATCTTCCACGCATGTGTGTAAGATCCAAAAGTATGCCCATTAAATTTGACACGGATTTTTAAAAAAAGTCAAGCTTCACATCATGTGATAACTTTTATAGAGATTCATGTCAATTTTTAATGGTGATCATCTGGGTCCTATAGGATAATTACTCATAAGTGATAATAGAAAGTTTTATGTATATTTTTAATAACAGAAAATAAAATGGATGTTTACATAATTTTTCTTAAATTTTTAGACTTTTGGGGTGAATACATGAAAAATGAGTGTTGGGGTTTAAGGTGTAATACTATTAAAAGTAATGGGGAAGGATGTCTACTAAGTTGATTTTGGGATATTTGGGAAAATATCTCTATGTTCTTTACATTTAGATTTCATTTCTTAATAAACTTAAAGTTTTAAAAGGTATCTTCTAACCTTTTGACTACTTTAAATTTATTTTTTAACCTAAACAACTGTGAAAAAGATATGCTCTTCATTTATATATTTCAAACTTCTCTTTTACTCTCTATTGGCGCATCTTTCACTCTCTCTCCTCCCATGTTTATTCAAATGCCTCTTTATTTCTTTTCGTGTTTATTCAAACACCTATCTGCTTTTTCCCGATAATCTCTCACTACCAAACATTAATTGATATTGTTGAGAGAAACATCACAACATCTGTAATTGATGTTGCTGAGAGTGATAGCACAACAACTGTCAAGAGATCACCCTTGAGAAAAGTGTGTGAAGAAGCCTTATCTTATGAGGAGCTTCTCGTTGGAATGAACATGACTAGAATGTTTGCATGACTAGACTGTTGGTAGGTTGGTTGTGAAGGGGTCGAAGAATCCACAAATCGTCTAGCTTAACACTCAAACCAAGAGAGGAATATAAAAATCAAATGGGTTTTCTAGAAAACCCCAAATTTGATTAAGAAGTGATTCAAGGCTTTGTACACCAAAACCAGCATTGGAAAATGAAAATCAGCCAGTTTTTTTTTAAAAAGCCCCAAATTTTGTGAAGGGGCTCAAGAAGCACTAAAATCATTGGCCTTTGAAGTTTGAACACTAATACCAAGACGGAAAAATAAAAATTAAACGAGTTGTCACAGAAAACCCTTAATTTGGTTGTGAAGGGTTTCAACTTCAACCACCCAAACTCGTCCAACAACGGTAATTGGGTCTGAACTTTGAACTCCAAACCTTCTTCAATGGAGGTTCACTCCCTTGATCATGGTGGAAATGACTCATTTGAGAAAAGAGTCCTTGGCAAGCTTCGACAAAGAGGGTAGGTCGGTGAACATAGGGGGAGAGAGAGGTTGGAAACATGGAGGAAGAGGGGTTGGGTAAACACGTGAAGAGAGACAGAGAGGGAGGGGTTTGGGGAAACATAGGGAGAGGGAGAGGGAGAGGGACACAGAGAGTGGGGGTAATATGGAAAGAAAAAAGGGGTTTGTGGAAGAGTCACAAGGGAGAAAGAGATAAGTTTGAGAGGATGGGAAAGAGGGAAAGAAAAAAGGGGTTTGTGGAAGAGTCACAAGGGAGAAAGAGATAAGTTTGAGAGGATGGGAAAGAGGGAGAGAGAGATGCGAAAGAGGGAAAAGTTTGGGAAGATGACTTTTAGAAAAGATATATCTTTTTAAATTTATTTGGCCCTCAAGATATCTTTTAAAATCATATTTCTATTATGAAATGAAACTTAAAAATAAGAAGTATGGAGATATTCTTCCTCTATAATTTTTCTTGATACTTTCAATTAGAATCAATAAAAGGAATTTCCAAAATAGCATATGCTTGAAAAACATAATTTCTCAAGATTGAACTTCTACTGTCTAACTTTTTGACGGTGAGATCTAAGCGTTAAAAAATTTTAGACTCAAAATTTCTGTGCTGAAAATGACTTTTAGGTGGATCTCAAATTTTAGATTGAAAATTCCCCCAAATAGATCATCTGGCAGAGGGAGTAAGATGTATACCATGCTCCTCATGCTCATCTAATAATGTGGGAAACCTCTTTTGCCATGGGAGTGGCAAGCAATACCGATCTTATTGTACCAAGGGGTCTCTTTCTCTCTAGAAAGTGGCTTCTTTGCTCTCATTGAAAAAGTTTATTCCTCTCATATCAACTTTTTATGTTATTCTCTAATGGGGATCAGGAAATAGTTGTTGATATACTTTTAGACTTAGTGAAGGGCTTGGAGTTGGACTTTGGATTAAGAGAAAGACGTGCGTGGAGGTAACGCCGATGGAGCGTTTCATATTTTGGATTGACTTTTAAATTTATCTAGGCGGCACATTTGGATCGCATGAAAATTTTTTTTAGAAAATATTTTTATAAAAAAAATTTCTTTCATGTGGTCAAATGTGAGAATATTTTCATACTAATTGGTCTTAGTACATCTTTTCACATAAATATAGGTATATTTTCATACTAATTGGTTTTAGTGCATATTTTTACACCAATTGACAACTAGTTGATGTAAAAATATTATCAAACTTAAGAGGAAATTTTTTTATGTGAAAATATTTTCTAGAATACATTTTCACGAGAACCAAATGTGCCAAAAATGAATGTTCAGTGATTATATATCGGATTGTATACAATGAGACTACTTATCTTTATACTCATACTCTGTTAAATAGGATGGCTTAGGCAAAAATTAATTTTTTTGGACTTACGTCTTTTAATGACACTTTTACAACCACCCAATTTTAAATTCAAGAGATAAGAATGATTGTTGTACAAAAGTAAATGGTCTATATGTATATTTTTTCTTATATATTTTTTGTAGGGATTGTCTACAAAGAGTCTGTTTGTCTTTGTACATAGAAGTCATAATCATTCCCACTAATTAGATGTCAAATTAGATGGCTTGAGGTGAGTCAGGAAGTCCGAGAATTTTTTTTTTTGTGGGAATTTTGTGTCTATTCAATGATACTCTCATAATCACTTATTTTGAAATTTGACGGACAAGAATGATTGTGACCTCCATACATACAAAAAATTAATAGTCTCTTTGTGAATAATCCATTTTGGTACAAGAAGTTTACCATCATCTTTAGCATTTAAATGTGAAAAATCAGCAGGAGTATCATTTCTCCTTGTCATTTCTTTGCAAATTTTTCTTGTTTTTGTTCAGATTTTATGCATAGAAATTAAATATGCCTTGGCACGGCCTCTTCCACATGAGGTGCAGTGAGTTGGAGCTTCTTACTGAGAGAAAGAATGAGAATAAGCATGCTATACCGCATATAGTGAAGTGAGGACCCTTAAACAGTTGGAAAATAGGGGAATTACAATGTACTGCTAAATGCAAGTTTATTATTTTTTATACTTGTTTTAAGGGAAATCCCTACCTAGGAGCATTATATGGACGTTAAATTTGGGCATGTTTCTTCAACTTAAATTATAGAGAAAATTCTGTAAATATTTTTTTAAATTTTTATTATTACAAAAATACCTAAAACTTTATTTTATTACATATATATCCGTTTTGTGAACTCCATAACAATTTGTTTTTTAAAAAAGTAAAGCTACCCATTTTTTGATTATCAAAAACCGAAATAAACTGATTTCAGCTTTTTAAAAACAAAAAATAGGCCCATCCTTTTAACCTTGGCATCTAGTCAATTTACCAGCTTTAGACCTACAAAAGGGGGTTGTGGGGTAAACCCTGTTGCCCTTACTCCTCTTCTCACCATCACCATAACCTTTTCTCCCTCCCCCTGCTGCAACCGAGAATGGTAACTTCCTTTTGGCTCCAAATTGTACATCTTCATCCCCCTTTGCACCAGCTTTAGAACCAGTATTGGAAAAGCCCCTCTTATCATTATGACCTGCAAGAGGTTCTTTAAAAACGTACTTACTAGCAAGACTTTCGGTCATGGATTTTGAGACCTTTAGCATCACATCCTTCAACTTTTCATGTTGATCACTTTTACTAGTTATATCAGAAAACCTTGACTTGGGCAACCCTAAATTCGTAAACAAATGCACCAAATCGAGATCTTTGAATCTTGGGGTGATGAACCCTCGATCTCCATTACTAGATGGCAATGCTAAGCCCTTGCTCTTGGCACCTTTACCTGAAAAATACTATGAAATGAGTTTAGAAAAAGGCAATTTTCCATTTCTTATTGCTGGTGCACCTTTAC